AGCGCGAGATGCGGGTTTGATGGCAATAGGCTGTGAAGCTTTCTCTGTAGAAGTATGGCGTGTGCTAGCCAACCTTTCGGCAATGACCCCCTTTTGGTTATTCTCAACGGTCAGCATGGCAGGTTTAACCTTACCTTGGCTGATATCGATAGTAGCGTCTCCGAGGGTCGGTTTGGCTGGCGTTGCTTTTCCACCGAAGCTCATCTGTCTTAGAAACCAGTTGGAAGGTCTACTTTTTATCTCGGCCTTGGTTGAAGTGTTCGTTGCCGCGCCAGTGAGAGGAGGGAGACCGGCTCGCCTTGAAGGAGACACTCCTCGGCTGGGTGCAGGAGAATGCTTTGAGGTGGCCTGCATGGAAGGACGATGGCTTTGAGAGTCCTCAGAATCTCCTCTTTTGTGGGATACTGGACGCCCCATACTGACACTGCCTCTTGCCAAGTTCTTTTGCCGTTGCAGGATGTCAGCACGTGGCATGCCTTCGACTTTGTGATCAGACATGCGATAGACAGTACCACGTGGAGAATGACTCTCAACCTCTTTTGTCTTCTCGCGCATAAGTTGCGGGAAGTTGTTTTCAGGCGGTGGACGGGCGGTTTTAGGAATCGACGGGCCGACACTGCGGAATGAAGAAGAAAGTTGAAAACTCCTGGATAGTTTAGGTGAGCCACTGGATAGCTGGTCGCTCAGCCTTCTTTGATGTGCTTGATACTCTGATACAGGGTGTCTTTCCATGATTGGAGAGAACACGCCATTGTCATATGCTTCCATCCAGTTCTTGTATGCAGTTCTACCTTCGTCTAATTGGTCATTCCCATACTCTTTGTCCCCTCTTGAAGAGTAAGAGCCTGCTCCCGTAGTCGAGCGTTTGACTACAGTGACTATTTTCTGGTCATCCTCGTCTCGGTCGAACGATTCACGCAGATGGTGTGGGTACATTGGGTCCTCTTCCAGGTACGGAATAGCAACGTCTCCCATTTCATTCTCCATAACACCCATCATTTGGAGTTCGAAAAGACGACATCTGAGGGAGAAGATGCGACCTTTTTTTCGAGACTTCTTCACGATTTTGTCGGCTTTTCGAGGTTTTGTAAGCTCCAAAATCTCTTCAGAAGTGCCGGACCAGAAAGAGATATCCACCCAATATGGCATTGCGAATCTCCAGTTGTCTGTAGCTTCTGTGGGGTTGTCTATCGGTATGTGCTGCATGGTGGAGGTGCGAGAAACGGAACCAAAGATAGGCTGACTTTGGCGGGGAGTTTGATCCTCTTCAGTCCGCGATATTCCTACAGGTGCACGATGTTTCTCTTGCTCAGCCTTCAAGTCGGAAACCGAGCGGGGGGTTTGATACTTGAAAAGAGGTACGGAATGAAGTGGCATTGGTGAGAGGCACACCAAGTCAATGCCGATGCCCGATCCAATAAGTGTATCTGTAGTCAATTTGAGCATGTTGTAGTCCACCTCGAAAACACCTGTTCCAGGGCTAACGACTATAACGGAGATACCTGTTCGAACGAGGTCGCGATCAATATAGTCTTTGGAAAACTGGGCTGCGGCTAGGTTAATAGCTTCAAGAATATTGCCTTGACTTGCAGATGATGGTCTTCCAGCGACGACGAATTCAGACATTGGACCATCCACACCTGCATCATCTTTGTTCGCGACTTGCTTGACAGGTTTGCGCACAAGAGAAACTTCGCGAAGGAACATTCTAAACTCTTTCTTGAGCTGATACAAGATGTTGATCCAGTCACCACTAGCCATGTCGCTCACAACGACCCGATAGTAATCCCTGAAAGTGCCCGAATGCGAATCAAAGTGCGTGTCGCTTGTCGCTCCCTCGAGATGATCAGCTACTAATTCGCCGTCGTATTGCATTCGAGTAAAGAGGATGATGGTGACAAGATGTCGTGCGTTGATTCTCAACCATCTTTTAAAAAGATCCGGGAGGAAGCCGCTGACGACTTTGTTGAACATGATCTCTCCGGCGCCTTCGGTATCAAAGTCCCACATCTCCCGAGACATCTGGATAAATAGGGTGTAGCGTGCCGATTCGCTGCGAAATATGGGTTTGGACTTGGGCGAAAAATAGCCAGAATGGACAGACTGGCCATTGATGTAGATGTGCTTGATAGTAGCTTTGATGGTCCCCATGAACAGTAGCCTCTGGCCCCGGTAAACGGTACGTTTGCTGAGCTCGGAGATTGCCATGCGCCACATATCTGCACGTGCGAGGTACTCATCACGAAACACGATTTCTACATGATGGGCTTCATGTAGGTCTTCATCAGCCTCGGTCACCACAACTTGCATTCTATTGCGGAATCCGAATACCTTGGCAATGCGCTCGGATATAGAGACCTTAGCTAAGTCAGTTGTGCCTCGTGCCAATATCAGATGTCACGTACCTGCAGGTTCGGATACTTTGACTTCAAGTCTGGAGAAAGAGGTTTTGGGACAAAAACATAGGCTTTGTCCGCGTCGACGTCGCGGCCACCGGGAATAGTCGATCCATTCTCATCGAGGGTTATCGTGTTCGAGTCTCGACGATGTCTCCTCGGATAGCCATGATTGTGGCCATCTCTAGAAGATGTATCGTGTTTGTGTTGTGCACCATCATGCTGTGCGCTCTTCGGTCCTGCATGGAAATTGCGAATGGCGTTGTCTTCCTGTATGGCTACTATCTGAAGCAAGGAACCAGCACCGGTAGGGACCTCGGGAAATTTCTCGCTGTTAAACACGATTTCATCTCTTGAGAAGTTGTCGTCATGCGTCCATAGGGTACACACTTTCTGCACTCGGGCCTGTTGCGGATGTGATGCGGACTTCGACATGATTCTTATTGATGTTGCGGAGGGTGGCTCTAGCTATGCGCTGGCTCACGAATGTTTGCATTTTACTTATCCAAACATGCTGAACGTGCGTCCTTCCATTATTTGGGATAACAAGTAATGACCAATGGTTCAAGAGCGATATCGCAACCAAAGGTGATGGTGTGATGGTCGTGTCGCGTCGCGGCCTGCGACATACTGTGAAAGAGCGCCAAGGCGCTACAGTCTCTTTACGTAAGCCCGGATAACGCGCTATGCAGAAGCGGCGACTTGACTCTACTTGGAGCACAACCTGTTTATGAATTGTCTATGCTAAAATACGAGCGATGTATCATAGTAAATACTTCCAGGTTGAAATATTTGACAGGACAGGTGCTGTATCAAAGGGGAATATCAGGCGTGAAGAGAACGGTTTTTAGGCATGATTCACAAGGAACGGGCGTTTGGTCTGCAGCGCATCTGTTCCTGTCGAACACAAGCAGTGTATGACAGTCTTCTCGCATACCTAAACGTTCTCAACCCTTGCCTTCATCTCTTCTAAATCTTCACCCTCAACACTGTCCTGCTTCTCTTTGACAAACCTTTCCAGTGCCCCATCAATCTCGTCTGTTCCATCGACAAAATCAAGCCATCCCTTCAAACCGTCCTTTTCCAGGGCTCTAACTATCACCTCGGCAACCGTCGCACGACTGACCTTTTCTCCAGCTCCAATCCTGCCCATTTTTACCTTACCAGCTGGCTCCTCGGTCAACGTACCAGGCCTCAAACTGATACCGCAGAAGCGCTCGTTAGCTGGCACGCCCTCCTTTTCTTCTTTTGCTAAACGATCATTGGATAAGACGGTAAGAACCTCATCAGCTGCAACTTTGGCTTTGTAATAGTTCGGTAGGATCTCGTTATTGACTTTTTGTGCAGAATCCCAGTCCTCGTCGTTCCACCAGGGCGCGCGGCCGCGGCGGGAGGCAAGGTAAGATACATTGAGAAACTTTTTGACAGAAGGTGTGTGAATGCTGGCTTTTGTAAAGGCAATGGCTGCGTCGCGGTCGATTGCGAAAGTCATTTCTGCGCCGCCTTTCCCTCCAGCACCTGCTATGCGGTCAGAGTGTCTCCATAACCCTCCAAAGGCCCCATTTCGTTGAAATCCTAGCCAGAGAGACCAAAGGAAAGGAAAGATGAACATACCAGCACTCCATACAACCCAGTCAGGCTTCACCTGATCCAAAATAGTCTTTGCTTTCTTCTCATCCTGGACATCTGCAACGCTGCTGACAAGCACACTTAGCTTGCCGGGCTGACCCTGACCTAACTTCTCTATGGCGGGTTGCTGTGAAGCAGTACGAATCATGCTTGTCACATTCCACGACTTCGCTAATAGAAGGGGTGTGAGAAGCTGAGCAACCTTGCCGTGGCCGCCGATTAAGAGCACGTTGTGTGTCATGATGGTGGGAGTTGCCAAACAATATTTGCTTAGAAAGGATCGCGAAAATGAGGAAAGAGGATGTAGAATTTATTCAGAATATCACAGGAAGAATTACTTCAGACGATGGAAGTCAGTCAACGTTTGTAGGCAACGCCGGCACATCGATCGTTGCTGGATGCGGTGCTGATGCAATTGCCAAGATGACGTCGTGCGCGTCTTGACCCTCCGAATAAGCGCCGATAGACTGAATGCTTTGTAAGGAATAAACTTCAACACTGCCCATTTCGATTCCGATCAACAATGCGTATGAGATCATCACGTGGTAAGATTAAAGCAGAGCTTTTGTAATATGAAATGTATTGTTTTGAACTTTTTTGGGTCGTTTCGGGGCACATTGCAGGAGTACCGGATGTTTGGTGCCAGTGCTAAACGGCTGTGAGAAAGAAAGAAAAAAGAAACAACTGGTGGACCGAGAAGTTTTCTATGGACGGGTAAAGCAAAAGGACCTTGAATAACAGAACAGTCGGTGCAGGCACGACCAAATAACATGAATAAAGGGATATGGGTATTTACGACATTACCGGGCCCCTAGGGCCAAAAGAAAACACCTATGACGCCGATGAATGCTTGAAATATATGCTGCTTGGAATGAAACAGTTATTACACCCGAGTCTCCAAGCTACAGAGAGGTTCGTGCGAGGTATATATGTATGTATGTGTGGGGTTTTGAGGGCGTAGGAAAGAATTAGGCCTTATGTGCCAGGGCCAGTTGGCTTGGATTGTTCGTCGGCGTGACTGGAGAAAGGCCCTACGTTGAAATCGGGTGTTGTTTCTATGTTTTGGCTGGGAGGACCGCGGTACTCACTCGCGTCAGGAGCAAGGATGGGATCGGTCGACTTGGTGTCAGGGTGAACTTCGATACCATCTTGAGCCTCGAGATCTTGCTTCGTGGTATTGCGGCTGAATTTGATGGAGTCGTTGTCACCACTGCCGCGGTCAATCGGTGACCAGCCTCCAATGCTGCCTGCAACGATACCAGCCATGACAGTCGCCGGACCAAACGCGGAATTAGAACGGGACCTGGCGCGGCGACGACTACTGGGAGAAGGTGGGGCATGAGAACCGTCATCAGTTTGGACGCCATTATTGGGAGTACCGGGTAGAGAGTGACTGGATCGTGATCGGGTAAAGATTTCCCTGGGATGTTGCACCTTGAACTTGATAGCACTGAGACGGCCGCCGCGGACTTTTCTGAGAAAGGCAAGTTCATCGCGAACCTCCAGTAGTCCTTGGTTCCAGTAGTAGTCGTCATCTGAAACGACAAGCTCGGGAGTTTGCTTGCGCCTGAAGAAGTCGGGAATGCATTTCCTGATAAGCTCATCAGGTATCAAGCGAACAATGACACCGACCGGTAGAGACAGGAAGCCCAACACTATTGAGTAGCCCCATTGAGGGCCGTTGAGTCTCGTAACCTTGAAAGCTTCGCCACCGACAAATATAATCATGGTCTGACCTCCAATCATAATGCACAAAATGATGATAAAGAACCAGTTGTGGGTAATGCCTTCAAATACATTGAAGCGGTTGTCGAGGCGGCGGTTGTTGAGAGCGTTGAAAATTTGCATCCAGACAAAGGTGTTGAACACCAAAGCAGGTAATTGCTGCTGCTCACGCGGGCTATGGTAACTGAGCATAGATTCGCCGGCAAAGAAGAGAATAAACGTAACAACCAGCTGGTAAATTGACTGCCCGATGATCATTTTCCACATGCGCAACGTGATCAAAGGTGCGGATTTAGGGTCAGGCTTGCGGTCAAGAAGACTGCGAGTGGGAGGATCAGTTGCGAGCGCCAGAGCGGCAAAGGTATCCATGATGAGATTGACCCAAAGCAGTTGGACAGCAGTCAGCACAGATTGCTGGTCGCTACTGGAAACAGCGGAGACGAAGGTGAGAAGTACAGCCGTGATGTTGACTGTGATTTGAAACTGCAAGAACTTCTTGACAGCGTCATTGACAGCACGACCCCAGAGCAGCGCCTTTACGATGGACGCAAAGTTGTCGTCCATGAGAATGATGGCAGAAGCTTCTTTCGCAACCTCAGTGCCCGCGATTCCCATAGAGAAACCGACATCGGCAGTTTTGAGCGCGGGTGCATCGTTGGTTCCGTCACCAGTGACAGCTACTGTCTCACCAAGCTCTTTGAGGCGCTTGACAAGCTTGCGTTTATCGTCTGGGCTGGACCGGGCAAGAACACAGAGCTTGGGAATGACGGCATCCATGTCACGCTTTGACAGTTTACGGAAAGTAGGGCCCTCCATAACAACACCGCCAGGGACCAGGATTCCACAATCTTCGGCAATTGCCTTGGCAGTCAAAACATTGTCACCGGTGACCATACGAACGTAAACACCGGCATGTTGACAGTCCTTTACAGCCTCACGAACGTTGTCTCGCAGAGGATCCTGGATACCGACGATGGCTAGAAAGATCATTTTCTTGGCTATATCCTTGAAGACAGCTTGGGTCGGGTCATCCTCATTCTTGGATGATTCGGCGGGCGGCCAGCTTTCGAAATCGCGGTAAATGAGGCCGATGGTTCGTAAAGAGCGGGATGCGTAAGTTGTGATGATGTGCTCGAGTGCTTCGCGGTTGTCGGCAGTCATGGGAGCCTCGATAAGTTCCTTGTTGGCGTCGGTGACGATCTTGTCGCACATTGCGAGCAGAATCTCGGAAGCACCCTTGACATACATACGGTAGCGACCATCGCTTAGTTTAGCGACGGCGCCAGAACACTTGATTGCAGAGTCGAAGGGGATCACCTGGACGATGTTGGCGTTGGCGCGCTCCTGGGCAACATTGCCCAATCCCAGGTAGTCACGTGCAAATCCGAGCAAGGCTGTCTCAGTTTTAGAGCCGATGAAAGGATCAGGACCTCCAGTCTCGCCTTCGAAAGCGGTCGTGTTCTGGACAATGGATTGCAGAAGAAGGTCCTTGACATCGCGGTTCAGAGTCTCGACGAACTCCGTGGCAGACACATCGTTGGGATTCTCAACAGGAGACTGAGATACGTCCTTGCCCTTGGCTCCATCGTCAATTGGGGATACTGAGGATGCTTTGAGTTTGGAGTCGCCAAAGCGGAGAGCAGTTCCTAGGGAGCCAGCAACAACAGTCATCTTGTTCTGAGTGAGCGTACCAGTCTTGTCGGAACAAATGGTAGTGGCATTACCCATAGTCTCGCAAGACCGGAGGAGGCGGACCAGATTGTTGTCCTTGAGCATACGCGTCGTGGCGAAAGCCAATGCAAGGGTAACAGCTAGCGGAAGACCCTCGGGCACAGCGACGACAATAACCGTAATGGCGACGATGAGGATATTGAGGAAGTTCTGACCCTTCTCGGCCGGCGTGTCGTCGCTGCCCTTGAGCCTGACCAAGAACTCAATGAATAACACAACGAAAAGCAACAAAGCCGCAGCTCCACCGAGTTTGGCGATGTATGTTGCGAGCACGTTGAGCTTGTTTTGGAGTGGTGTGACTTCGCTGTCTTCGCGAAGAGACATCATGGTCTTGCCGTAGCTGGAGTGTACACCTGTAGCCGTGACCATGAAGGTACCTACGCCCTCGGAGACCTTTGCACCGGAGAGGATGAATGGATCGACCTTCTTGAGGTTGTCGTGTCGTTCAATGGCTTTGTAGGCCTCGTCGCCAGATATCTTCTTGAGCAAGTCAGATTCTCCAGTGGCCGAAGACTCGTCACACTTGATTCCGTGACCTTGGATAAGGATACCATCGACGGGGATCATGTCACCAGGCTCCAGGTTGACAACATCTCCGACAAAGATGTCGTAGACAGAGATTTCGCGAGTGGTTCCAGAGCGGATGACCTTGATGGTTCGGTCTTCCTTCTTGCGGTTAAGTTTGACGAACTGACGCTCTTTTTGCCAATCATTGGCAGCGCCAACTACGACGACAATGACAATGGCAACAATAATGGCAACACCTTCGATCCACTCTACGGCTGGCTCACCTGGCTTGTGCTCTACACCAAAAGTTTGGTATAGACCGAGAGCAAGTGAAATGACAGCGGCGCACGTCAGCAAGATAAGAACTTTGTCGTTGTAGGCCATCCACGCGAGTTGAAAGATATTTTTAGGTTTCCTGACTGGAAGTCTGTTGTCACTAAAGATGCGCTTTCGGTCAGCGAAAGCATTCTCCTTGGACCCAGTGGGTGTGCTATCGGTATGCGCAACAGCATTCGGTGATGACTTTTGCGCAGTCTCGGTAGTACTTGGTGTCGTTGCTTCTTCAAAAGTGACGACACCGTCCAAGTGCTGCTCGTCGATGCTAAGTCCGGCCTTTCGGTCGGTCCGAAGACCCTTTTCCAAGCCGTCAAGGCCTCCGAGAGCATGGAAGGCTGATAACTGAGGGGTGATTAGCACAATGAGGAGGTTGCTCAGAGACAACAACTTACGCTCTTGGGGTTGTAGAGTTTGGCCAGCTGGCCGGGCGAGAAGGCAAACTTGTTGTTTTCAACTACAAAGTCTGCCTCTGTGCCTGGATCTGGTTTCAGGGCATCCTGGTCGTTCAAGACTTCGGTGGGTGCTAGCTCTCCCTTGAAAGCATCGCCCTGCGAAGAGGCGACATATGTGCCTGAACTGTTGGATTCACCATTCTCGGTAGCCGAATCCATCGAGTTGCCTCTTGAGCGAGCGCCTGGAACATTGAGTAGGCCAGCATTGCTGGTCCACGTTGCGACGGGCGAGCTAACATTGTGAGGGCTCGTGGGCCTGCTCTCTCTGCTTTCAAAGGAATTGGCGCCGCGCAGTTCCTGCGAGGACGACGTTCGCTGGGTAGGCGATGGGTTTTCGGAGGTTGCATTTGGTGGGAATCTGTGGCTGCCGTCCTGGATATCGGCCAGAGGCACGGGATTGCTCATGTTGGCGTCGCTGGCGGCAGACGTGTCGATGGTGATGGTTGGGGCCCGCGGTCTTGAAGGACCGCTGTGTGCCTGTTCGTTCGCCATGGCAACAGGCTGGGCGGCGCAAGGCTGCAGTAGTGCAAGGCGGTAGGCTGTGCAAGCAGGCAGGGAAGCGATGGGTGTAAGCCGTAAGGATGTCAGGTGTGTATTTCCGGTGAGCTTGCTAGATTATGAGGAATAGTGCATGCGGAAAGAACATGCGGGTTATAAAGGGCGTGGCCAGAGGCGAGAGTAGGCGGTGGTTGAAGAGTGAAGCAGACGAGAGCAAAGAAACAGGCACAAAGAGCCAAAGAACGTGAATGGTCCTGGGTGGAGGCAAGAGCCAGTGGGTGAGGCCCAGCGACTAGGATCTGGTACCAACGGCTTTGTTAGCACCTGGTGGCCGTGGTAGAAGGCGTGGTGCGCGGCCAGGGCGATGGTGTGCTTACGGGACGGGGCCAGATGGCGGGTAGAGGCGATGGATTAGCGGAGGATGGAGTGAGTGAGTGATTGATTGCTTGATTGATTGATTGATTCGGTGAGTGGCTTCACCGAAGCTGGCTGGTGGATGGCGGGAGGGGGGCTATGTCACCGGGGGCTGCGCGCGTCCATTCGGGCGTGGATTGTGGCTATGCTGGAGTGGAGGAAGGTGGTGAAGGGCGAGTTGTGGGTGGCAACCAAGGCACGACAGGCGAGGACCACGGACGATCAGAAAAAAAGAGCGGAAAGGCAAGTGTTTCTTGCTTCGCGAGCAGAACAGGCCCGGCAGAACAAGGCGCATTAAGGACTGCCTGAGGCGTGTTTTCGTCGAAGCTCAACCGCCCAAGGATTGGCATGCAACCAAGACAGACACAGCCCCATCTAGCGTCGTCTTGCTCGCACGCGCACAGACTCCCGCCAAGTCCGTCTCTGCAGCCATGGCCATACGGCAACACAGCGACACGACTGCAACCAACGACACCACGTCACTGGCCAACGCCATCCCTTTTGCTTGCACTTGCATGCCGCTGCTGCTGCTGTGCTGGCTGCGTGTCCGTACATGCATTCATACTTACATATACAAAGTACATATCCAAGTACTCCATACTACACGCTGCTGACTCATTTCCACCCCAGCCCAGTCCAGCCCAGCCCAGGATACTACATACTTTTACTTATTACTGACTTTTGTACCACAATCATAGAGTGACTACATCTACGCATCCGTACTAGCATATACTGCCGCTGTAAATGCTCCATTTACTCCATGTTCACAACACGCTGCCGCTGCCCCCCCCCCCCATCGCCCCATCGCCGTCAGTGCGTCATCTTGCCGTCTCCTTTTTCTTCGCCTGGCCCATGCCTCCACCTGCATCGCTCTCCACAAGCATTCGTTTTGCTCCTCAGTGCTCATCTCTCCACGACAGTAGCCGCAACCGCCGCCTAGCCGCCTTCTCAGCCCTGGCCGCACACCTGGCCAACAATATAGCCTCCACTCATGCCCCCGGCTTTGTTGGCCCGCAGCCCTCGCGTTCCTGAAGATCAAAGGCGAGTGTGGGTGCGTAGGGGAGAGGCCAATCTCCGAGCAGCCAAGAGCCGAAGTCCTTGGCTGCTGCCAGCCCATCTCCCGCCCGTCGAGCCAGCGTCGACGTCCTAGCAGTCGAGCGTCACAGATTCCGCTTCTCCATACCTGTAGTACTTGAGTGTATTCCAGCCCTCGATGTGCGCCTTGCCTCTTCCAATCGGTCCGCCCTGCTTTCTCTCGCCCTCACCAGATGCCCAATCTGCGCGTGATGTGGTAGCGTCCACTACCTGCAACAATGACTCGCACTGCAGTTTGCATACTTGCGTAGTACACGCTCGATACGGATACCAGCCAAACATTGGCACAAGCCACGAACCCTCAGGCTGTCACCAAGCAGGCTAGTCCTACGCACTCATGCCAATTGTACGCATGTGCATATCCAAGTACATACATGGGAGATGCAAAGCCAAGAAGAGCGCAAGTGACATTTGAGTACATCCATGATGCATGCATACAACTACGAAACCTAAGCTTCTTACACCCGTCCCTCGAGGCTTGCTGAACACAAGATCTTTACGTGCTTTGCAAGTTCACATGCCGGCTGCCCCGGCTCTTGGCATCATCGGCCTAACTAGTCCAATGCCTGCAATAGCAACATGTCAAACAACCACGATCGCTAGTTTCAGGCATAGAGGTAAGAAGTCAGCAAGCTGTGTATTTGTCTAACATGGTGCGCTATTTCAGCGAGATATCCAAGGCACCGGCCCATGTGGAAGCATGTCTTGCTCTTGCCCACACGCACCAGGTCTGGTCCGGGAAACGGTCGACTGGCGCCTATTAAGCGCTGTTGTCATGGCTCAGCCAATCAGCATGCGCGCGCACCAAAGAGACCGTTTGTTATCCAACCACCATCCTTACCCCACCTGCCCAAAGGAGATACCCTATCGACTATCTACAATATGTACACAGAAGTGTAGTGTATACATACATGACTTGAAAAGGAACCAGTCTTCTTAGTGTATACACGCCTGGGCCAAGGTGGACCCCCAAATGACGTTTCTGCCATTCATGTTTCTCTGTCGACTCAGACACACTCCATTCTTCATTCTTTACACATGGTTTGGAGCCAACAAAGTTTTCAGTCGTACACCACAACCGCTGCGATAGCGTTGTACCTGCATCTCGACCCCAGATCTTCGTGGCTTATCCAGATACACATGTCCTGCAAGTAAGCGCCTGGCGGCTTATTACCCGTCAACGGCCATCTCAACCAACATGGCCGATGACGTCAACCTCCCCAACAATGGCTGCTACAACATGTCCTTTCGAAGTATTTGCAAAAAGAACAGCCGCTAGAGAATATCCCAGCATCCAATCACATGCAAAGCAATAGCTAGCATCAACAGAGGTATGCAGTCGTGCAAATGCATTCCCCTCATCAACTAGCAGGCCCAGATATACTCTTTTAGCCAAGCAACGCATTTGCCAAGTTGGTTTTGATTGCATACGCCTCTCAAACGAGCATACACACATCTGTATCGTAGTATGCATATACATCACCTGCTGTTCTACGACAGTCGCGCTGTATCACTATCCTTGCCATAATTTCTGTGCAGATCTCTGCCTCTCAAGTGACCACGGAGCTTGAAACTTGAGTCCTCGCCGGCATCTCGCCACCATGCGCAAATCATATGTTTGCAAACTTTATCCACACGACGTAAAACGTCATCATACCCCAGCCCGCCAAGCACATGGCAAAGACAGAAACAAGATCCTCTCGTGGCCAAGACGCTCGTCCCGCACTTGATGTTTTCAGGAGTCGTTCTCGTAGCAGTACCGAGCCACGCCAGGACTTGCATTTTGGGTCACCAGGCTGAACCCGGTTAGCCCCATTGCCTGGCTTTTGCACTGCCCGCCATCTCGCCCCTCGACCAATACTACCCAAGCCTATCAAGCGTCACCGAACCATCATTTTGCCCACAGTCGATTACCTTCAGCTTTCATCATCGTTGGACGTCTCCGGCACCCGCTTCTAACCGTTGCTACTTGAAAAGATTGGCGTACCGGCTGTTGTGTATCTAGACCTCTATGCCCAAGGACAAAGACCGTAATCCGTCACCTTTGGAACTAGATCGTCAATTTTTCAATAGTGTTCAATATGTACACTTGCCACAGAACAGCCTCTTTCCATTTGCCCTAGCACTAGTGCCTATTGTAATACTTACTTGAAATTGAAGTATTGTTGCCATGTCCACTCACTACATCTCGAATTAGGTAATGCAACCCCATATCCCTTGTCCTCTTGAACCACTATGAACCAGCTTTGATGCATTTTCTAAAACTCCAGACTGTTTGCCGTCCGCACCCGCTATGGATCATGCGCGTACACCGCAACGTCTCAAACCAGATGTTCAAGTTCTCGCCGTCCCGCTCTACCTTCCTGCACTGCCTCACCGCCCCCCACTCCGCTTGTGCAGCACACCCGCACAACCCAATCCTCGATCCCATCTTATCACACTGCATTACATCACCGCTCATTCTCTTCGCCATCCTCGGAGATAGGCTGTTTCTTCTTCTTCAAGTGCGGTAATTTAATCGCAAAAACTAGTGCATTGACAATGACAAACGTGGCCACCGCCGAGATGAAGACTAGACGCAGGCTACGACTATAGGCTTCAATGACTGTAAGACAAGCGTTAGTACTGGGGCTGTAAGGCGCTCAATTCGATAAATGAGGGGCCACGTGGATGACGCGTTGCAAGGTACTAGGGGATTATTGGTATACGAACCCTGGCTTTGATGTTTGACGTCTAGGTCAACTATGCTGCGAACTGAGCTGCGGACACGTTGGATGATCTGTGTGGGCTTGTTAGAAAAGGTTCATTCCGTGTGTGAATTCGCCGTCTCATCTTCGTCTTTTCCATTCATCCAGCTCGTGGTGTACGTTCTGCAGCACAAAAACCAGATGCTCTCCTTGACGCTTTACGTTGTAAATAGAAAGAACAAGGGCTATGCCACGTACCTTGGCCTTATCATGCCCAGTGACCAGTCTATCGAGATATGTTGCCAACGCGTTCTGCAAGATGAGACTGCTCAGTGACACTCCCATGACGATGCCCAGGCTACGCCACAGAACGAGTGTGCTGCTCATGACCGCCTGATCTTCCTGAGTGCTTGTCGCAAGAACAGCGAGACTTGTTGCTGGAAAGCTCAAGCCTTGACCGATGCTTGATGGGACTAAGAAGACAGTGGCGAGCCACTTTGGCACATTGAACATCAAAGAGAGACATGTAGCACCCAGCAGCATTGATAGTGAGCCAACGACAATAAGCCACTTCATGCGACCCGTGGCAGTCATAATGAAGCCAGCCGACACGCCACAGACAGTTAGCGCAACTGAAGGACCGGCAAGACGGAAGCCTGATACGGACGCACTCTCGAGCTCGACAGCCTGGAAATACAATGGAGCGTTGAACAGGATTGTGTTCATGCCAATCTGAGCGAAAAAGTTGTTGAAGACGAGATTGCCGCGTGGTTCGCTGAATAACATGGGCAGCGGCATGACTGGCCGCGTAGCTCTCGACTCGACTCTGATGAGCACGACACCGGTAACAAGTGCTACTACAAGTGAAGTAATAACAAACCAGTGTTTCCATGCGTAGACGTTGCCTCCAAGATTCAGACCTAAGATCAGAAATGCAACAGATATGGTCAGCAAGACCGACCCTGCTATATCAAAGCCATTCATTGCGTCTCGGAAGCCCAATCCAAACCGTTCTGCTAGATTGGGCCCAAGATTAGACGGCGTCATAACAATGGCGTTGATCAGGAGGATGAGAATGACCGGTACCTGCAGAGCAAAAGTCATCCGCCAACCTAACTTGTCGCACAAAAATCCACCAAATGCAGCACCACAGGCAGATCCACCTCCATAAAAGAGATTAATGTATGCCTGGTATTTACCTCGCACCTCTATGCTGACAAGATCATTAGTCATGATGTTGCCCATTGACAGCACGCCAGCTGCACCAATACCACAAAAGGCCCGCGCAAGAATAAAACTTGCAATACTCTGTGCAAGAGCACACCACGCCGTCGTAGCTGCAAGCAGAGCGAGGCCAGCTAAATACAGAGGCCGACGACCAAAGGTGTCTGAAAATCGGCCCATCAAAGGCTGAAGCGAGGTCGAGGTAAGCAAAAAGGCAGTCGACAACCAGGATGCAGAGTTGGATGCATGAAAGTAGGATGTAATGACTGGGTGGCTTGAAGCCATGAGGGTAGAATCAAACATGGCAATCTGGCATGATGCAATTAGCAAACCTACTACGTATAGGGGAGAGATGGTAGAAGAAAATCATTTGGACATACAAAGTACCCCAACAAGATGCCTCCAAACACGCATCGAAATCTCCAGAGCCCGACGCCTTGAAGCTTGCCATCTTGTTCGAATTTGGCCAACTCCTCTGTCTCTTGCCCTGTTGCAGAATGGCTTACAGACGCGAATGACTGCCCATGCGAGTTGCTTTGGTCGTTCTCCACAGCCGGGAACTGGGGTGCGGCTCCTTGGCCTTGCTGTGCTACTTCTGCAGCTGTGACTTCATCTCCAGCAATGTCTGTGGCACTCTGTTGGCATTGCGACACAGAGCGAAGAAGCGGTGTTCGTTCCGAGGCAGGCAAAGGCATAGCAAAAAAAAAGGAGCCTAGCGGCGCTGCAGACTCACAACAAAACCAAGACGAATATTACTAGCAGCTGTACGACCTTGGTCAAAACAGATTTCGGACCGAAGAATTCAAGTAATAGAAGGAATGGCGTGCGTTGAGACAGCTTCGCAGGTGCAGGCGTTTAATGATCGTCAGCGCTAGTAGGCCCCGAAATCGCCGTCGTTTTCCGCTATCAAAGAGGGCTGATTGCTGGCTCGCCCATGGCTTCAGCATCAAACCTCGCAAACATGAAGACTCCCTTACGCATAGCAATCCTCGAATGCGATACGCCTCCACCAGCCCTTGTTGAAAAATACGGACGATATGATCGCATCTTTACGACGTTGCTCGAAGCAGCAGCCGAGGACTTGGGCTTATCTCCGAAGCAGGACCTGGACTTGAGCGCATTCGACGTCGTCACTGCGCAAGAGTATCCTGACCTGGAAAAGATAGATGCAGTACTGATCTCGGGCTCGAGTGAGTATTCGTGTTGCTATCATCGTGCAAAAACAAAAGAAAAACAAGGATTCTTGTGACTAATCAACATCCCACCAGAGCACAACTCATTTGACAATGACCCATGGATCCTCAAGTTGGTCGAATTTACTCAAAAGTTACTCAAGCAAGACCGCGTTCGGGTGATTGGCGTTTGCTTTGGCCATCAGATTCTCGGAAGAGCTGCAGGAGCCAAAGTTGGGCGCAGTGATGATGGGTGGGAGATCTCAGTCTTGCCAGTTCAACTCACAGCGAAGGGCAAAGAGATTTTTCAACAGGATAGTCTTGTAAAGTTGCGACCATGTCATCTCACGACTCGGGTTCTCTAACCATGTTTGCAGGCAATCCACCAGATGCACAGAGATGTGGTATTCGAGTACCCTGCAGATGTCGAGAAGCTTGGCGGATCACCTCGTTGCTTGGTACAAGGCATGTACAAAAAGGGCAAATTGATTTCTTTGCAAGGTCACCCGGAATTTACCGAGCCCATTGTCTCTTACTTGGTCCAAATGAGGGCTGAACAGGGCATCTTTGAGGAAGAGCAAGCTAGGGACGCGCTAGAGAGAGTGGGCAACCATCACGACGGACTGGTCATTGCCAAGGCATTTCTCCGATTCTTGCTTGAGGACTAGGTAGCATTTGCAATTGGCCATTATACGCATGAGCAGACAATGTAATCAGGTAGCCCAGAATTCGCTGTATGGCTCGCTGCTGCGTTACCTTGTACCTGTGATGGTGATTCTTGATTCGTTGGTCGACAAGGATAGGTACCTCGCATGTGAGCTCACCTTTGCGGCAACGGACTGCACACTATATATACTCATGATTTGATTAATATTTCAAATCACAAGACTGGCTTCGTGGCGCAATGGTAGCGCGTCAGATTCCAGTTTCTCTGGAGCTTCCTGAAGGTTAGGCGTTCAAATCGCCTCGAGGTCACAAGTAATTTCTCTTTTTGGCTTCGGGAACTACACATCAAATCACCGTTCAGTGTGGGTCATCAAGCCGGTTAGTGGATCGAAGTTTTTTGTTTATTTCATTTTTATTTTGTCAAAAAGCGACCATGTTTTGCCCACCACGTATTTGCATTGGATGATGGTAGATTAGTGCTTGTGGGTGTTTGTGTTGCATGGGTGTATACATGGAGGGGGGCAATGATTGTGGAACGCGGGGTATGGCAATGCATTGATGCTGTGAAGCATAACACAAGCCTTGTGCATATCCGCGATAGATGAGCATTGCAACAGGTCAGCCGTAGGCCGCCCTCGTATCCCAACCTACGGTGCTGCCTTCTGTTTGGTGGCCATGACCAGTACGCAGAGGGCAGAGGGCAGAGGGGGTATGGTGCCGTCGTCGCCCTGCCAACGACAGCCTACTTACTGCGTGTACATGCACGTCCACACATGTATGTAGTATGCACATGTAGCATGTACATGTGCATGTGTAGTACCAAGGCCAGCAAAACATGGCGTCATGCGCTCGAGGGGTAGCGGGGGGCGTCCGAGGCGGCGGCGGCCGCTGAGTGGCTGGCCCGTCCAACCAAAAACGTCGTCGCTGCACTTGCGCCTTCTCGAACCAGCGCTGGCCAGGGTCCACTGTCACTCACTTGCTCCCTCATCCGCCCTCCATCTTGCTCTCCCACAACTCTTTACTCTACAGTACTGTCGCTCGCTTCTCCCACGCCTCTTTTGCTTCGCCCTCGGCTGTGCCGTTCTCCTCGATTTCCAAAGTACTCGTTGTAATCAATCCTCTTCGCTGGCTTCGCATGCGATTTGCTCAATAACCGCCTCTCGGCCTCAGCACTCCCCATGGGAAAGTGTAAGCACTCTCCTCTCCCTCTCTTTTCTTTTGCCCCGCGCCTTTTTATGAACCCTTAGAGCTAACGCGCCATGCTGCACAGGGAGATATGGTGTAGTCCTGGACGCTGGGTCCTCTGTACGTCGTCGGCACACTTGGTCTGTCGTCGCAGCGCCGTAGCTAACAAGTTCAAAGGGGACGCGCGTCCACGTCTACCGCTGGCTGAACCACAACGCAGCCCGTGACAAGGCCACTGATGCTCAGTTACACAGTCTGCCCGTCATAGAGACGGACAAGAAGTGGACTAAGAAGATTCATCCCGGTAAGTCGGCCTGTAGCCGCCTGGGCGCAAACTGACCTCATCCGCCATCCCCTAGGCATCTCTACCTTTGGCGAAAACCCTCACCGCGTCGGTCCAGATCATCTTGAAAAACTCCTCAGCCATGCGCTCAAACACATACCTGTCGATCAAGTCCCGAATACCCCTCTCTTCTTACTTGCCACGGCGGGCATGCGCATTCTGCCCGAGTCACAGCGCAAAGAAATCCTCCAACAAGTTTGCCAATTTGCCCGAAGCACGACCCAGTTCCAGTTACCCGATTGCGATGTACATATCCAGGTTATACCAGGAGAGACCGAAGGCCTGTATGGTTGGATAGCAGCAAATTACCTGCTGGGTGGCTTTGACCAGCCAACACTTCATCAACACGGCAACGGCCACAGCACATATGGTTTCCTAGATATGGGAGGTGCATCGGCACAGATCGCTTTCGCGCCAAATGCCACCGAAGCCGAGAAGCACGCTGACGACCTGACCCTTTTACGACTACGAACATTGGATGGGACGCCGCTGGAGCACAAAGTCTTTGTTACCACATGGCTGGGTTTTGGTGTTAATCAAGCGCGCGAACGATATATAAAGGCACTGTTGGACTCCAGTACTGAAAAGGAACTCCCAGACCCTTGCCTGCCCGCAGGCCTTAAGCTGGAGGTCACGCACGAGGGCAAGTTCATTGACTCGGACTCGGACGATGATGACGATGATGGACCGAAATCAAAGGCGGCAGCAGAACTCGTAGGAACCGGAAAATTCCCGGAATGTTTGCGCCAAACCTATCCGTTGTTGGAGAAGGAAAAGAAATGCACAAACTCGCCATGCCTGATTAACGGTCAACATGTACCCGCTATCGATTTCAAGGTCAATCACTTTGTAGGTGTTTCCGAATACTGGCACACGACCCACGAAATCTTCGAGCACGGACACAAGGACAAGGCCTATGATCTGACGACCTATCAAGAGCGCGTAAACCAATTTTGCAGTCAAGACTGGAAGAGTATTGAAAAAGGCATCAAGAAGGAGAAATGGGGTAAAAAGGTTGATCAAGACAAAGCACGTGAAGTCTGCTTCAAGGCATCTTGGATCATCAGTATGCTACATGACGGCATTGGCGTGCCTAGGGTCGGAATAGAGGGCCTAGACGACAGCCAAAATACCACCAAAGCCGTACTCGACAATGCCAAGGCAAAAGGGTTCACCGACCCTTTCCAGGCAGTCAACAAGATCAACGACATAGAACTCAGCTGGACACTTGGAAAAATGGTCCTCTACGCTTCTAGTGAGATCCCACCGCCTTCTGAGGAAGCACTTGCTGTGGGCTTTGGTTCCAACGCTCTCGGCATACCTGCAGACTTCCAGTATCCAGGTGGTACCCCCAAGGCGTACGAATCAGAGAGCAACTGGCATCGCCTCTTTGTCGAGCATCCTCAACAGATACCAGGCTTCTTTATCATGATTTTTATCATTGTTGTCATCTTTTGCTTGATTCTGGGTAAAGAGCGGAGGAGTGCGGTCAAACAGTCGATAAGCAGGATTTTCAACAGCAAACAAGGCAAAGACCCCTTGCACCGTCGCCGCGGCCGCAGTTTTCCAGCCAAATTCTTTGGTTTTGGCGGTTCGTCATCAGCGAACCAACAGCCGTACGAGCGTGTGGATTTGGAAGACGGTGAATTGGCCAATGAGTTTGAGCTTGAAGAAACTCACCTTGACTCGAGCGATAATGAACTCTCTGATTCTTCCGAGGAATCCAAACTAGGCCGGACCAGCGGATGGGCTACGCCACAAATCAAGACGGAACCCGTGAGTGCGCCGAGCTACTTTGGTAGCACGACTGGCGAACTGGCGAGGGATGGCATGGGTCTGGGTCTTGGCCTACCAGGAGGTGCGTTTGAACTTAGCCGCACCGTCAGTCGTGAGAGAATCAAGAGTCGAACGAGTAGTCCTAAAAGGGCTAAGAGTACAATGAGTAAACTTGACGAGTAAAGGAAATGCTTCATGAAGACACATACATACTACTTGTACATAGCAAGAGGGTGGGGGATTTTATATTGTTTTATCCTCTCTTGTTCTTTTTCTTTTCATCCGGTTGGTTACATGATTGGGCTGGCTGGGCAGTGTCTTTTGTGTTTTGCATCTCTGGGTTGCAAGGTTTCGGCGTTTTTTTTTAAACACGAGGTAGATACATGTAGTTGGTTCACTATTTTGACAAGCAAGCGTATTTTGTTGTCTTGTCCAACCACCTGTTCATTCTCTTTCGCTGTCTTTTCTTTTTCCATTTTCACACTGAATGTGAATATTCCTCTTGTATTAAATGTATAGTATACGTGTCTATAACGAGCCGTACGTGTATGCTATATTCGCCACCATTGGCCCCTTTGCATGCACTCACAAGACATGGAAAAACTCTGCAAAGCCTTCTCGTTCAATCCTCGGTCGTTTGGCCTCCATTTCTTCTGATCCCTTCTCTCCATTGACCCCATTCTCGTCATTGTCTGACCATTTCCTCTTGCCGTCTTTCTCTTCCACCTTACTTGCTGCTTTCTCTTGGCCTTCTCTTCTCATCCAGAACCGGTGTCCCGGACTCCTCTCACATATTGACTCGCTCTCCTTGATCATCGCATCTGTAATCTCTCTCTCTTCCCTCTCTTTGGCACCCAGCTCGGGCTGAGCTACCACTAGATCTAGTGGCTCATTATTGAGCCGGAAAAACACCCTCTGAGCAAACTTCGTCTTGCTACGGTTCCTCGTCAATCTGTACCTCAGATTTGATGGATTGGTGAAAGGAAAGTAGCTACTGGAATTATAGTCTTGTTTGTCTTCTACCTCTAACATCTGCCACCGCTCATCTTCAAGCAGCGTGACAAGCTCTGATTTCCCCCAATCTTCGTAAATGTCGTTGGGTACGTTTGCAGTAAGCTTCTTCAGATTTTTAAACTGTGAAGCATAGCGCATCCAAAAGCGACGCCAGCCAATCATTTCACGCTCCATGAGTGTTTTCTCTGCCGGTGTGGGGCGTTTTGCTGCTCGAAGCCAGCCCGAGACACCTGGAACATCGGCAGGGTACTGAATAGTCAGCTCGTCTACCATGGAGGCGATAGGGGTAAGGCTAAAGACTGCCTGGGTCGGCAGAAGCACTTCGCGCCTCTCGGCACCCTCTCCGACAAAAGTCTTGAAGGGACCAAAGTACAAGCTACCATCCAGACCTGATGAGGGGCAAGTATTTCCACGATCACCAATCGAGATACGAATGGGTATGTCCAGACTTCTGAGTCGTGCCACCATTGTCTGTATGCGTGAGAGAATGTCAGGTTTGGGCAGAAAAGTGCGATTGGGCTCTAGGTTTGCAGGGAAGACATCGCACATCATGCTTTCCCAGGCAAGAACTGGCTTCCAGTCACACTCTCGCGCAAGCCATTGCAATGCCTCCTGCACTTCGGGCTTAGAGCTCGGATCGCTCATTGCAGGATCGTTGATTTGCTGGGGCGGCTGGCCAAAATGATTACGTCGCTGCATGACGTTGACGAGATGAAACGGATGCAAGGTTATGTTCCGGAGGTTCCGAATAGGTTTCATGTTGATGTTGGGGTATTTCTTGGATATGGTCTGCAGGCTCTGGAGTAAGTCTTCAAATGATGCCCCGACGCCTTGCACAACATGGTTGCCCAGGACCATATGATCGCGCTCGCACGCGTCAAATGTCTTGTCGTCAAAGGCTTCTTCCTCGTCACGATGGTGATGACCTTGGGTTATCCGATATGGAATTGGTCCGATGACGTCCCTGTCACGGCGGTCCTCCATCCAGGAATACAGGCCTATCTCGACATCTTTGATGCGCGACCATTTTGTCGCATCTGTGGAAAAGAGTGATCGATAGGGGGCGTAGTCGTGTACCCTGAGCTTTGTCATGGTTTCTGGGCAGTACTTTTGTACGCCGTCTACGAGACAGCAAACGCGTTGGTGAACCTCCCATTCATTCCATGTGCTGGGTCTAAGAGTTAGCGTGGATAAATGACGATGTGACAACGCGACTTACTGGAAGCCCGAGTATCGCTCCCGTATCGCGAGCGTTTTGAGCCTCTTGCAAATGGGGAAGATGGCGTTGGCGACGGATCCGCCGTCTCGTCTCCGTGATATTCTGAAACTCTGCTTGAAGCGATAGTCCTGGTACGAGTAGCTGTATTCGATGCGAGAGTGTGCAGTGTAGTCTGCCCAGTTTGCTACCTCTAGCTCTTCCAAGCGTGCAAACAGACATGGGCAGGCGTCGGCCAACATCTTCCATGTCCAAGTCTCTTCAGGAGTCCAGACAAAGTCCTTGATGGCTGATATGTCAAGGCTGGTGAGGCAAGGCAGATTATCCTCTATCCACTTGAAGTCGTCGATGCTTGCCCAGTGCGACATTGCCAGCTTGTGGACATGGCGGCGGTTGGAGTCATTGATGCTGTCCATGAAGCTCATCCACCGGGTCCTGCCGATGCTCCTATACTTCCAGTCGCCCAGCCTGATGTCACGCACGTCGTTGAGTTGTATGGGGTATTTGTAGAGTAGTTGGTTCACGGTCACGCTGTTTGCCATGCCCTTGCACAGGCGCTTCAGACTCCACGCAGCGTCGCGATCCAAGTAGTCCATGACACATTTGAAGATGTCGTCAGGCAGTTTTAGCAGCATGCTGCTCTGGCTCGCGGCAGCCTTGGGCATCGGCTGATTGAGCGGATCAAAGCCCGAAGGACTACACTCGCGACTCGGAATCAAGTCGAGCATCTCGGGCGAAAAGTAGTCGAAGTCGTGGAAGCTGAATAGATTCATCAAGTAACGCTCGTAGCTCATCAGGGACGTGTCAGAGGTAGAGAGAGGGGGGCCGGGGCGCGAACGGAGGCTGGGGCGTAGCAGGCGCTGTGAGCAGCCCGATTGGGAGGGTTATCACGAGAAGAGAAGGCACGAGAGCCGGCATGTGCAATGTAAACGTGGTGAAGCTCAGTGTGAATGCAAGGGTAAAGGCGAGGCTGAGGGTGAGGGTGAGGATGCGGGTTGGGCCTGTTGTCGGCCGGTTGTGGCACAGTGGCTGGTGGGTGAGAGAGCGACGGTGCACCCTGGTGGAGTTGCGGAGAGCGCTTCGGAGGTAAAGGCGGTGCCAAGACATGCCGCCGCTCTGACCGACGGCCGCTTCAAGCTTTGTTCGTCGCATCGGCATCGCAGCACCTCGCACCCAAACACACGCGCATTCGATCCCTGTCTGCCCCCTTCCCTCACCATGGCCGACGCCCAGGTCTTCGAAGAGACGTTCAACATCACATCCATTAACAACGAGAAATATGATCGTGTCTCCCGCATCTATGGCACCTCGACCGACAGCCAAATCACCATGACCCTCGACATTAACCACGAGCTGTTCCCCGTAACGGTTGGTGAGAGCATCAGCCTGGTCCTAGCCACAACCCTCGCCCTCGACGGCAGCTCAAAGGGCGAGAACGACACAATGTGGAGAAACGTAGGCAAACAGGGCGTGGCGACGCTGGCAGATATGTATGACTATGTCTGCTACGGCAAAAACTACCGTATGGAAGGAGGCAACGGAGACACCATGTGAGCACTATCCAGGCAGCCCTGTCATGCTGGACTGGCTACTGACTGCATGTAGAAAATACTTTGCTAGTTTTGGCGGGCTTTTGCTGTACATGGAAGGACCCCACCGCAAGCTCAGCGGACTGAAGATTGACGACATCTACATGCTTGTGAAGCACTCATAGTTGGGCGCGTCATCGCGCATATGAGAGAATGACAAAGAAAGCATGGGCAGGCGTTTTGGTGGCATGTGGTATTGGTATCCTCTGGTTTAAAAGTTCGGCAAGGCGTCTGAATACCCTCTTGAAATAAAAGGACGCCTTCAGAGGCTCTCCTAGCTCTGGCGAGAAAATCCCAATGCTCTTTTTTATTTTCATAGTGTGGGGAATTCGAGTTTTCTGTGCAATCGGCTCACCAACTCGATGTAATCCCTCTCGTTCTCCGTCGTCAGGATGCCATGCCGCACGAGAAAGTCGAGCACGACCAGGGAACAGTTGGGTTTGAACTCTCCGTTTCTCATAGCCTCCTGCACTTCGTCTACGGTCCATAGGTAGAACTCCTCAACCTCATCGTCGCCGGGCTTCGGTATCGTATCTTCAGGAAGCTCAAGATCATAGACGTATTGAACTTCGGGCTGCATCAAGTTCGTCTCGCCGCCCGCTCTCTCGTCACGGACGTACCAGTACGTGACTGTGCCGCATGCCTTTGCATTCTTGCGCACCAGCTCTTCCGGCAGTGAAGCCTCTTCTGCGCATTCTCTGACCAGGCTCTCGAATGGACTCTCCCCTGACGCGATACCACCAGCCACGGCATTATCGAGCATGCCTCCATATGTCTGCTTCGTACGTGCCCTTCTCGGAGTCCAAATCTTGATTTCTCCACGTGTGCGTGTAAAGGCAGTGAGGTGTACACCGTATGTAATGACACCAAACAGGGGACTGGCACTTCTCTCTACGTTGAACAGCAACTCTTTGTTTTTACCATAGACAGCATACAGTTCCCCTCTCCACTTATCCAGCACCTTGAAATGACCGGTTTGGCGCAGTGCCAATAGTGTCGTCTCTATTGCTGCGGACCGTTCTTGTGCGTTTGAACCAACTGCGAGACATAGAATCCGCGCGTTATCATCAATCTCCCAGTTTGAGACGCCACGAAATACCTCAACAACTGAAGGTAACATGTAACCGAGCCCATAGTTGTGGCCTGAGACGCGCAGTTGGTAGTACGTGTTGATGGAGGCGAGATAGGTTTCCAGGTTTACGTCGGGGTAAGGGAACCTGTCGCATTGGTTCACGAGATCAATGTTTGACAGCGACATGTTTGGTGTGGACGATAGGCCAGGTGGTGTGCGTGAGGGTATGGAAGGATGATTGCTGGCCGCAGGTACGCAGCAAGGTTACGTAGGGTCCTGGTGGGGGCGGGGT